GAACTCCCCCCCCACCGGCTATCCCCATCCCTGGGAACTGCCCTCCGTTGGCTGTTCCCTCTCCCCTCCTGCCCTGGGAACTGCCTCTGGGTACCCCTTCCCTCCCTGCCTATCCCCTGCCACAGGAACTCCCCCCCACACACACACACACTGGGTATCCCTGTCCCTGGGACCTGCCCTTCTTTGGGTATCCCTTCACCCCACTCTCCCTCCATAGCTAGATACATCACACAAACGTTTGACATGCTCCCCGTCCTGTACCATTTTGGGTTTATGCTTTCCATAAGACATTTTTCACTTTGAGCTTCACACTGAAGGGAACTGAACTGTAAAAAGTGTTTGTGTGATCAGTAAAACCATGTGCATTTTGTGATGTTTCAACATCCAGGTCTTGAATCTTATTAGAATGTGCCGTTTCTGTGTATCATTTACATTATTTTGAATTTGATTAGCTGGGAGAGGGGGTAGTTTTAGAGAAGGTAGAAGAGCTCACAACACAGGAATAGTGCTGCTGAGAGCATAACAAGAGGTTGTGCTGAGCTACTGCAAAACAGAGCCCAGAAGAAAGAGTATTGGTATGTTTAATTTTTTTCATTCCTTATTTCTGCAGAGACATGGCTGTTCTTTCTGGGCAGGCTAGTAAAAGAGGATCCCTTATATTGGCTCCACCTTCTTCCATTGAGGCACCTCTGTCCCCAATCAAACCGGTACAGATCACAGTGTTGGAGGCACGTGACCTGGTAAAGGCTTCTGAAATGTCTCATCTTGTCTGGCATTAAATATATCTGGTTTAGTAAATGGGGCAGGCATGAACTTTTATACTGTAAACGCTTCAAAAACTTGGTGTGAGAACATAACACTCCTGAGCAATCTGTAATGAAACCAGGACCTCAGTGTAACCCATAGTTACACAGCATGGTTCTCTGTTCCCCAGTAGTGGCTAGCTCGTATGTAGAGTAAAGGGTCTTGTTTTTCAGTCCAAAAATCTTGGGTTCAATCCCCACCGACAGCCCATCCAGGAATATTGCATTGCATAAACATTAATTTGAAACGTGGCCTGCTATGCCCCCTCTTGCATTACTATCAGTACTTTTAGTTAATTCTTTACAACAAAGTTTTCTAAGCAATGCATGATATAGGTCATATTCCTGTTTTGCTAACATGTTCTTTTTTTTTTTTTTTAATTCCACACCCTCCTTCCATCACCAACATAATATAGAGACAAATACTTATAAAAGAGTTGATTCTGATCTCAGTTACAGCAATGTAAATCTCAAATAACTCCACTGAAATTTGTGCCAGTTAACTAAAATCAAAATCTGGCCATTAATGGAGTCTATGTACCACATTACATTCCTGGCTGATCTTATTGACGTCTAGAGTAATTGTAACAACTCAGGAAAAAGACCTGGGTGTCACAGTGGACAGCACAATGAAAATTTCTGCTCATTATATAGCAGCAGTCAGAAAAGCAAATAAAATGGTAGAATGCATCTAGCTATCTGTCTAGGCATTTATACCATAGTATCAAAATACCTCTCATGCATTAATAGATATACCCTTGCTATGTCTTTGTGCAGTAGGGAAGTATATAAAGGAATGAGATGGGAAATAATACTGAAAATATTAAATGTCATTATATAAATCAGTGGTACAACCTGACCTGGAATACTTCAGTTCTGGTCGCCCCCTCTCAAAAAGAAAATAGAAAGTATAGAGAGGGCTAAGAGATGGGGGGGGAGGGGAGGAAATGTTAAGAGATACGTAAAAGCTTCCAGATGAAGGTACATAGAAGAAATTTGGGAATGTTTAGTTAGAGAGGAGATGAATAAGAGAGGACATGAGAAAGGAATACAGAATAATGAATGGTATAGAAAAGGTGTCTTCTATTTAGCCTTTCTCTTAATGGATTAATAAGGAGGCATTTAATGAAACTGAAAAACAGCAAATTTAAAACTGATAAAAGGATATATTGATTACACAATGCACAATGAAAGCTGGGGAGGCATCAGTTGGAAGTAACAGAGGAGGAGAAGGACCTCGGAGTATTGGTTGATCACTGGATGACTATGAGCCGCCAATGTGATATGGCCGTGAAAAAAGCTAATGCGGTCTTGGGATCAGGGCCGGCTCTAGGCACCAGCAAAACAAGCTGGTGCTTGGGGCGGCACATTTTTAGGGGCGGCATGGCCAGCGCCAGAATGCCGCCCCTAAAAATGTGCCCCGGCCG